TTTTTTAAACTAAAAAAATATGTTTAGTTAAGTTTTATTGTGTTTATAAAGTATAATTTGAGGACAAAAACATTGCATTCTAAACGGTATCTGGGGAAAAAACCTAAAAGGAAGTAAATTATTGAAAAAAAGATTAATTTTATGTAATAATAATGTTCAAACCATTATGTCGATTTTATTGAAGTTTCAGTATAAAACAGTAATTTATTCTTATCGATTCGTTATTAAACACTGTTTAGGAAGTAATAATGGTATACATTTTTTTTTTTTTTTTGATAGTATGGAGCTACATTATACTTATGAATAATGAATTCTAAAGAGCATTTTTAAGCACCATATGTACGGGAAAAAAAAGGTGCAAACAAATGCATTTTGGATTTATTTCAAAAACTGCAAGTGCATATTTTAAGGGGTTATTTTTAGTGCACACAAATCCGGATTTTACCGTGTGGATAATAATGTAAGCAAGCCGGCAATCTGCTTGTTTTTGTTTTCACGTGGACTCAACGTGAATGATAATAGAACAGACACAGTAAGCACACACGAGATATTATTAAGTTAATAATAACGTTGTACAGGTGGGCGACTGGCCGTATATAACAGAAACGTATCAACCGCTGTGTATATAAATGAATTTGTTCCATTTGAAATTGAAATTTGCATTCCGTATATGATATTCGGGGGTACCCGCAGAACTCGAAAAACAATATTCAAATCCCATGTGTTGTAAACACAGCCGTTACCTACTTACTTATTGTCCTGTGTGATACTTACAAAACAGGTGCATACAGACATCCGATACAATCTATAATCGCGATAACTGTGAAAACTGAATAGTATATTCCTTTAATATTGAAATATTATTATCTTGTAATGCCACAATCGTTAACAAACAGTGGTGTTCGGCGTTTTGTAAAAACACATTGTTCCCTTTTCAAATGTGCAAACATAATGTAGAAAAATAAGTAGATATATATTTACCATTGGGTCTATAACGTAGCGCCAATAATGTCGACACTTGGGCTTGACAATAATGTACATTAGAGTAAATACATTTTTTTTTTTGTATCTCGTATAAAAACCAAACAAACCGGGATGAAAATTGAAAAACACCTGTAAACGAACCCTGATGGAAAACGCCACTTGTCTTTTGCAATATTAGGATTTTGCTAAATTTTTACCAATAGTTTTAAAGCTTCCTCGAGTGTTTTCAAACCCGTTCACGAAGGGCTGGACACAAAAAATTTGATGTCGCCATTTTCATGTTAAACTTTCACTTTCGGATAGAGATAACAGATTAGTGATAAGAGATAAGAGATAAAATACACGGAGCGGAGAAAATATCTAGGCTTTTTTTCTATTGAATAACAACAAAAAAACAAAGAGCCAAAACGCTAATATGTTCTTTTAAAGACATTTTTTAACTAAAAACAATAATAATAATATTTAGAATAGTGTTTTTTTTCTCGATTTTTCTAGTTTTTTCTAATATATTTTTAGTATTTACTCGTTAAACATTATTATTTTAGTGCTAGTCCGATGGTCGACAAACATATTTATCTGGTCTCTTTTTAGTTTTTATTTTTGTTTTCTTTAACACTGAAAAACCAAAAACAGTGGCTCATTTACATTTTTTACCCGCCTAATGTAGTATAAAATAACCTAACCTATTCCGTACTTCCTGGTCTAATTTTTAATTCGGAGGTCACAATCATACTTGCTTATCGTAGTGTGCCTATTGGGAAGGAAATAACCTCTTATTATTATAACGTTGTTAAATAATACAATCATAATTATTATGATAATTATCATCATAATAATATGTTTATTATTACCTAGGCCTTGTGCATGTTTTTTCTTTAAATGGCGATCGCAATCGGACAATAAGAAATTATTTCCACTAGAATCACGCAAGAGAAAAAGGAATTCTTAAAAATATACTTGACCTTAAAATTTAAAAAAAAATACCCAATAGCGTTTATTACTGAAATTTTCGCAGAAAATATTTTATGTAAAAAAAAATGACATTTTTATTGAAAATACTACCTAAATATATCCAGTTTGTAACGGATGAACGTAGAATTTGTTAAAAAGTATACATTATGTTAATTTTGGGCAAAAGCGATGGTTAAATGTAAATTATTTCAAAAACTGATCTTTGATGAAGCAATGGACCAAAAAAAAAAACAAATACAAAGTTAAAAAAAATCACTTGGTTTTTATAAAAATTGTACTAGATAAAATATTATTATATAAAAGTTATTTTTATACATTTGCATGATAAAGCAGTGACCTGGCAACTAAACAATGCACCAGTGACTAATTGCCATAATATTACTAATACTTGTGGGAAAAAAAGAAGAACATTAATTATTTCCCAGTATTCTATTACCACGTAGGTAGTATGCAATGTCAAGTTCATCTAAAACGATTATATTTTTAATTACAAATGTTAAAATAACATGTTAGCTTTTAAAATGGACGAACAAAAATATTACTTAAGTCAATATACAAACGTACAATTTGCGTTTTATGTTAACTTTAATAATTTTCATAAATTTGCTTTGGAAGTTGAGACAGTTTCTTTTAGTTTTTAATGTCTGCTACACATTTAACGGGTTTATTTTTAGATTTTAAATCCGAAAAGTGGCAAAAAGAAAATCAAATGAACTCTACACCAATACATATATACTGTTATTACAAAGACACATTTAATGTTTTAACTTACATTCAGCAAACGTTTATAATATTTTAAATAAGAAATATAATACAAAAAGACTTTTGGTATTATTTGTCACGAATAACTTTTAGTTTGGAACATTTCATAATAATTGTGAGCCTTTTTATTATCATAATATGGAGCTGATGATTTTTTTTAACTTAATACTATATTGTTTGATACAAGTCAAAGTTTAAGCAATTTAAAGTCATCCGTGTATTCCATTGGTAATGAAAAAAACCTGATAAATAGGTCAAGTGCTATTAATCAAACCTTCTCAGCTTTTCAATATCAAAATATATTTTTTATATTATTAAACTTAAAACATTTTTTTCAAGAGGCGTTTACATTACTTTCGACGAAATAGGTAAAGTAACTCAATTTAATATAATATTTTGCACTCATAATACACATTCATTACAGCATAAACTTTTTTACAATTACTAATAATTATCGAACAGCGCAGCGACACAAATCCTCTATACATTCTATTTATAATATTATTTTGAGAAGGGTTTTATAATATCAAGATAAATACAGGGGACCCGAATCACTCAAGCATAGTATATTATAATAAATGTGAGATTATTTTACCGTGTTTAAATTGCTAATGAATGGGAGACTAATTATTATTACAAGTTGTATGGCATAATACCGTGACAGCTAATATATTATTATTGATACAAGACCTTATTACTATTAAGACCTTATAATAATAATGATATAACATCACGGTCGCGGTTCGATAAACCGATAATTATTAATATTTTTTTTTATTATTACTTATAAGCCGTAGATAAACCAGATTTAGAATGTCGGTTTGGTGAGTACACTCGTTGCAAGGTTATGATAATAGGTGTAAACGATTTGTTTACAGTAGTTAAACGAAATCAACACATGATCTATTTTGCACTGTATTCAGTGCAGTAAGTTTATCGGTAGATCGAAAAAAAAAGGTGCACGATGATAATATTACATTTATAATTTTTTAAAACCTAATGGTATAAAATATGCAAAGAATTCCAATGACTGTAAAGCAATAAGAGGACAACGTGTCACGATTTTCATATATTCCTAAACGGTCATGGGTATTATTTTTATAAAAACAAAGTAAGTATTTCTTTAAGTTTTCATATAATGTATACATTATATTTAAAAACAAAACAACAGCGACGTAAAGTGAAATTTTCCAATCGAAATCCATATTTTTTTTTTTATTGCAAAAAATAATTGATTAAAGGCGTTTTTTTATATTTTGTTCGTGTTACTAATGAAAATCCATAGAAACGAAGGGAAAAAAAGAAAATATACCACTGAGAAGCCCCAACCGGAGTATAATTTTTTTACATTTTTTTTTTACAAACAATAAACGTCACGAGAACGATTGATGAGAAAAAAAATGTTATTATAAATTGGCAAAAAAACAGAATTTAATTTAAAAAGGAACCACCCAATTAAGTTTTTGTTTAAGTAAACATAAATAAAATAACAATAATATCCATATATTTCGGTTAAACGCCAACAATTTGTAAGCCAATTTTTTTTTTTATAATTTTTTTTCCCGCAAATCGGCAGTTTTATAGGTTTTTTTTATTTATTTAACACAAAAAAGTTTAATAATATAAACGAAAATATGTAACAAGAGCAACAAACATTATTTTACCTTTAAGTTATTATATTCCTTCTAAAACACATCAGAGCTTAAAATTCAATGTAATTATACGCGGGTAACCTTTTCCAGAACTGACAATTTACCAAAGAATTAAAAGTATGATTTTTAAGTTTTATAAAATATATATGCTAATTTTATTGTGAAACAAACTTCTAAAAGTTGTCCTGTTAAAAATAACACATTTTAAATGTGATCTTATTTCGATAGTTTGCCAGTTCTATCCGATTTGGCGTCACAATTTCCTATACAGCATTTTATCAACACAACGGTTCAAGTGTTTTAATTTCAAACGTGTTATAGTTACCGTTAACGGTCACATTAACAGAATGATAAGCTAAAACCAATTAAAAAAAGTCGGTTGTCATAAGGAAAAACGGCAATACGAAATATTACAAATTAAATTTTATTTTTATTCGGAAACAACCGACTTAATTACAATGATTATCATTTACACCTAATTATTACAAAACTGACCCACTGAAATGGGCTTTTCTTAAATATTTCCAGTCGGTTTGGTGTTTAAAAGAGGAGGTCTGTTTTGGGTTAGTTCGGGTCGCCGGCCTGTGTTTTGGGTATGGTAATTTTTCAATAGGTATCTCTACTACTCACTGTCGGATATCAACGTCCTGCCCCAATGATGGGCCGCCCTGCTCTGTATGATGGCCGACACGGACATCATGGGTTTTTCTTTTTTGAACATTTCGGCCGATTACACAGACGGACGGACGGACAAAATAACGACGGTACAAAAAATTAAAAATTAAATAAAATTCGAAAAAAAAATTGTATTATTATTATTTCACACTCAAAGCACACACAACACCGTGTAAAACCGAGAAAAAAAAAATAACCTACACCGACGGCGGCACCGTTTTTCGAATCGCTGAAAAAGGCGCGAGCGCGCGCTTTTTCGCACAGTATGACCCACTGATCTTGTTGGCCGGCGGACGCCCAGTGACACAGTTTTGCCGCGTCGCGCGCACAAACACGGACACCGGCGCCCGTGCAAACGCCGCGCCGACGGCAACCAAATACGCACGGGTATTATTATTGTCGCCCACCGACACCCGCCGCCGCCACCGCCCGCCCTCCTCCCTCCCCTTGTACCGCGCCTGATGCGCGCTCCCCTCCACGCCGCCGATCCGACCGCCGCGGATCGGTTTCCTCGCTCGTTCCGCGGTGCGGTAGAAAATCCCCCTAATCAGGACGTGATACCCCCCTATTTCTTGAGGAGTCGGGGGTGTAGGCAATAGGTTTGCAAAATCTTTATTCAAAGCTCAAGGCCTCTACAATTGTAGCATTTATTAAGGCGAATTGTATGGACAATTGTTTCGCTAAAACTCAACATTAAGATAAAGGTTGTTAAACATATTATATAATATATTACCATAGGGAAGAGGATCTATTTTCATATTTAATTTATTTATTTTTTTATTTCTATAACGCATATGTAGGATATATTTTGGTACAAAAACATATTATGTTTCTATTTGAAACATACTGTTAATAATTTAACAAAAAATAATTTAAAAACTATGCCACGATCGAATTCTTAAAAATGTTATGAAGAATTCAAAGATTTGTTCAAAATTTAAATCGGAGTAATCTTGGAACGTTTGAAGTGGTATGAATTGTTTTTAACCAAAAATACACAGGTTCTACAGGCCTCTACAGTCCCTTATACTGTAATGTGTAATTTAACTTTAGTGATCAGAACTCTTATTTTAGTAGTTCATTTATTTTTTGGACCATCACAGACATCTTTGTTGGCGATTTTCATCTAAATGCAGCGACGCAAAATGCGTCTTGGAATTAAGTCCAAGGATGGTTTTTAAGCAAAAACACCAATTATTATGAAATCGAATGATAACAATATTTTAGAGGCAATGTCATATTTGCATATTTGATTAAAAAAAAGTGAAAAAAGTTATAGCTGTTTTAAAAAAAAATGTGACTTTGAATGTTAAGTATTAATTCTATCAAAAAAAGGATACATGACATTGTCTACAAAAATCTTTATATTTTGGGATAGATATTTTTGAAAAATAGCAAAATAGCAAAATAGCTAGAACTAGTGTAAAAGAAACTGTAAGTTGTAAATTATACTTTGTAGGTAAAAATAAACTGACATAATTAAAAATGCAAAATGTTTACCAGCATTTGTTCAGAAACTATAAGATCATTATATAGTTTGTTTAAAAATTAAAAGGTATTGGATTACATTTTAATTTGTTATTAAAAAAATAATATTAACTAATATATTTGGAATTTGGTTTCAAATTATTATTTACATCTTAATTACGATTATGCATTATCAAAATACAAGTTCTATTATTTATCTGTTAAACCTTTTTTTGGCGATATAAACAATGCTACAAACTATTAATATTCTAGTTGTTTAATTTTTATTTACAAGTTTTTATTTATTGGTAAAATTAATGTCAATAAAAATTAAAAATTATTTTAGAAAAGAAAAGTTCATTTGAAAATACAAATAACTATAACTAACTCAGTTATAAGAATTTTATGAATACAATATATTTCATTATTATACAAAAAAATAATTTAAAAGTTGAAGCGACGAGAAAGACTTTATCAAACATATTTACAACAAAATTAATGAAATTATATGACATAAATATCTTTTATTACAAAAAAATAAATATTCTGGGCAAAAACACCAAAGATATAAATAAATTATAGCTATTAGGAAATAACTATAGTTTAGCCTGAATTTACCCTTTATAAAAATGTATCCTCAATTTTCGTTCTCTTTGAGTACAATGGATTAAAATAATAAGTCTATATAATATACAAAAAGAACCCCATAATTGCGTTCAAAGCACAATCTAATTATTTTGTACCCAAACTTTAAATGTATGTAACAAAAAAAGTAATTCTTAAAAAAGGTCAATTATTTTTTGGTTTTCTATGTTAGGTACTTCTGTTGAAAGTGTTTTATGCATATTATCCCTTTCAAATTAATTATTTTATGAACAATATAAGCATATTTTTAATATTTACACTCTGCTTTAACGAATGGACGGTTATCAACATTAAAACTTTACATACTTGCCTAAAGTCCATCTAACCTTTACGGATTAACCTTGATTTGAACCGTGAAACCAGCCACATTTTAGTTTTACAACTATGTTTACACTATTTCTCTAATTATTACCGCATAAGTCCTTAGATATAATTATTCAGTCGGTCTTTAACATTATAATGACAATAATGTGCTTAAAAATGTTTTTTAGTATTAGGATAGATACAATAAGGGTTGATAAAAGTTAAGTTAAAGAAAAAGTTTCACCTCTTCTAGATAAAAAGGCTTCTGATATTTGTTTTGGTTTGTCAACGTTTATCGGTGGTACTATCTATAAAAAATGTTCCATACAATTTAGAAACTAATTTGACTATTTTTAAAAAAGTTATAGTGCGCTGTTATTTTAAATAGAAAAACATGTAAAATGTTTTTGGTGTTTTTCTTAAATTTGAAAGGATGAATCTCTGAAATGTTTGGGTCAATTTAAGTACTAGAGTTCAGGTACGTTTTCTGATCTTGTAACATGAATGAATTGGTTCAGCGGTTTAAAAGATATATCGATGGTCAAGACTCCAAAAAAAAAAAATAGAAAATAAAAACAAACTAATGTAAAAACATACCTATTCAAGTCTGCATCAAAGCCCAACATAAAGCAACCAAAATTGTCAAGTCTTTGATACTTTTTGTATTAAATATTAATTTCAAAACAATTCTAAATATTATTTATACTAGATATCATGTTAGCAGAAATTGGTTTGGAGACTGTACGAACATTGCATCAGTTGTTTTCAATGAAACGTAACCAAATGTAATCGGAACATTTCACAGTTACCTACTTAATAAATTTGGTTAAATTGCCATAATATACACATGCAAATCGTTTATTTCTGAAAGATGTTAAGTAAAATTTTTGGCCAAATTTGTTTAATAATAAAAACCTGTTTAGTGAAAATAATAAGCAACACCAGATGTTTAAAATAAAGCTTAACAATTGGAAAAACCTTCCACTCTAACAGTTGATCATTCTACATTTTTTTCAGAAAGGAATTTTGTCATCTTAATTTTTGTTTTGTAACGTATGACTAAGAAAGTAGATAATAAACCTATAGGTTGTATGTTTTGTAATTAACAAGTGAAAATTTGTAATTGTTTAGTTTGTCAATTTTAATTTATTTCAATTTTCGATAAGGAACAATTCAGGCAAACATGCGGTACAAAGTTTTAGCATGTTTAAAAGTCGACGATAACAGTATTATAACTTGTAAACTTGTGTCCGTTGGAAAACTCTACGATATCGAACATACAAACTATAGTATTACATACAAATCAAGATGTCTGTACCTCTTTATTTTGTATAGATTCGGTCGGAAGTTTCCTAAGAATGTTACAAGCGTCAAGCGATCCTCGGCCGTATGGCGTACGAGTACCACGCTAATATCGCTGTAAGCGTGCCCGTACCGTTCGTGAAGATCGTAGCATAAGAGTAGTACGTGAATGAACATTTACCTCGTTCAGAACCGTCCATTGGTACGATGATCAAAGTGTCCACCGTGTCCAATGGCCGTATGCTTGCGTGCTTGTGCTGGGCCGATGAGGGTCCGTCAGAACTCCACAGAGAAAAACAACCCACTTGCTGTTGTCAAAAAACCGTCGAAAACCGAACTGGAACGGCGATTAGAACGTCAAGGTTGACGAACTAGGTCATTGAATCGTTTCGGTGTTGTTGTTTTTTTTTTGTTATCATAAACGTCGCCCGGGCCGTTCCGTGTACCACCTATTATTCCTTTGCGACGGCCGACGCGATACACCTGTTGTAAACGAATTTCGATGAGAATACTCAGTAGGTAGTAATTTCACTAGACGTGGCGGGAAAATAAAAAGGTAAATCGCAAAAAAACGACGTTACCGGACAACAACACTGAAAGAAATTAATAACATTAGAGACACTGGACGAGCCAAATTGATACCGAGACGCGAGCGGGAGGAGGAGGAGGAGGAGGAGGCGGCGGCGAAGGGAGTGGAGGGCGGTGCGGGACGGCGCTCGGTTATCAGTTCGGCGTCTACGGCGGCGGCCGTTGGTGGCACGGCGCGGAGGGGTGGAGGGGTGCGTGTTGTCGCAGCCGCCGCCGCCGTCCCGCTGTTACCAACACGGTCGGTAGACGGCGCTGACCTCGTTTTTCACAATAATAATACCTAATATTTTATAATACTAATATTATCATATTTTATTATTTAGGTATATATATGCCAATAATATAGGTTAATTATTATAATTATAATATTATGCTTAGACCTTACCGGGTCTTATGTATTTTTTTTAAGGTGCGGTTCGACCTGGTCCGAATAAAATGTACGGTAAAAGTGTAAAACAATAAGAATTATTGTGCAACATAAACAATAAATGGTACTGTAAACGAGCAAAATATTATTATGATTTATGAGAACAAATCCCGTCGGGTTCAATTACTTACATTATTGTATATTTGATTAGGAATTAAAAAATTTTAAATCCAGAAACGAATTTAATTCAAGTATGTAATTAATAATTACCTACCGATCGCATCTGAATAACGTGTACAACAAAATTTGAGTTTGATCACAAAACGTTAGAAAAACAATAAATTATTAATTTTGCAACGATTTCTATAATATTATTATACACCAAATGTTTTTTAAGGTTAAAAATTGTATACATTTTATTTTCATAAAATATGTCAATGCTTTTTATTAAATATATATTTTAAAATACTTAGTAAAAAAATAATTAAAACGAGTTTCCAACAACGATCGTCGTCTATGATCATTTTTTTTTATTATCAATTAGTAACTCTACTGATTAGGTAACAGACATGTTACATAATCAATGGTAACACTAGGTACAAACAAGAAATAATTAAATTACAGAATTAAAATAGTAAATATTGCTAAAAAAAAAAGATATCCTTTAAGTATAGGTCATTAAAAAAGTTGTTTCATAGCTCATTTTTTTTTTTTATAAATCTATTTAAATGGAAATTTTTAAAAATTACAATTGAGTATCAAAATTATACCAGAATATTGAAATAAAATTACCGATCACAGCTAATAACAGTCTAGGAATAAAATTTGAGTTTTTTATTGTATCTATCAAGATTTGTTTGGGATTTTTTTTTGCTTCTAAACTTGGCACATTCAATTTGTAATTTAAAATCACTTCCAAAATTGTAAAACTAAGATTAGATTTTCCTATGGAAATCTAAAAGCGAAAAACTGCTACATTAGCTATTTGAGATCCGAATTTAGCACATAAAATAGAAGAAAAAATGAAAAAATGTTTTGAAATACATTAAATTAAAAAAAATACAATTCAAACAAGGTTTTTTACATCTGGCGGTGTTTTATATATAATCCAGAACAAACCCCTTCGGGTTTATTTCAATAATTTTTAAATAAAAACTCAAATTATAAAAACTAAATAAAATTTTAAAAAAAACTTTTTAAAAACATGCTTTTCTAAAAAAAATAGTAAACAAGTGAACTAAAAAGTAAAAAATAATTTTACCACAAGAACAATTTACCAATCAATTGTAGCACATTTTTTTAAAATGTCAATTACTTTAAAAACAACCGAAAATTAACTACAATTTTAAATAATATTTAACATCTTTAATTTTTACTAATAAAAAAAGCGTGGGCCCTATTCATCAATGTTCTTCATAAATTTATCATATACAATTTCAGATAATGTTTTATATTATAAGTTTTTTTGTAATTTAAATTTGGTTCAATATTAGTGTGTGACACATACATTCAATAATACTTAACTCAGTGTAATTTATTCCTTAATAAAAAAAATGTTTGATTACAGATTTTTGAGGAAATTGTAGAATAATTTGTTATAGCCCCATTCTAGATCTACCTTTGGTCTAATTTTCACACATAAACCCCTAAAATTTTGCAGTAGTTCAGTTTTATTTATGCGATATAATATTTTTTCTTACCAAAACAAATAAAATATAGTACCGTTATTACATAGTTTATTTTCATTGTAGTAAAAACCAACGGGATATGACTTTTTTTTTTTACCGATTTTTAAGTCTAAATTATCTTTAATAGCGGTTACATTGAACCGGATATGCTCTACTTGAATAGGAAGTGGTTGTGATATACCTAATGAACAGTATCTCTTCGTCGTTAGTAATAATAAGTATACATTATGCATTATAGTAAATGTAATAACATTTTACTGTGTTATTTCTTTACTATATACAAGTTTTTTCTAGTTTATGCGCTATACCTATCTAGTTATAAAAACTAGTAACTGGGTACTTTAAATTGAAATTAAAAAAAATGTCTTTATCTTCTTGACGAAAAGGTGGTTTGAAGTTCTCTTAACTTTTTAAATGTTTCTTTTTTTGTTTATCAGTTGACGGCTTACGCAAAAATATCTATAAAAACATATTAAAATGCATACAAACAAAAGTTCTAAAGCGAACTATAAACAAGTGAAGCTAATATAAGCGTGTTAAAAATCATTTTATTGTGTAAATACAAAAATTTGGTACAGCTGGTTTTTTTTTTACTCATCATTTCAAGACTTCTTCAGGGTCAGTTTAAGTAAATTATGTTCTTAGAACACAATTAAGGATACAACGGAAATCATTTTTTTTTTTAATCGTGATGGGTTCAAAGGTGGTATGTAAAAAATAAAACGCTAATTAGTCGAGTTAAAAAAAAAAAGCTTTATTACACAAACAATATGTTAGAAAATTATGTATCTAACGTGTATAAAACATTGTTGAGCAAACCCTTGTACTTGACTACAAATATTTGTGTTGAAAATACAATCTAAATATTACATAAAATGACTTGAGGTTTTTTTTTTAAACCAGACATAAAAACTTGACTAGATATTCGTTTTTAATTATCTTAAAACTAAAATCTAAGTTAGTTCATAGTATTAATTAATAGTTTCCATAAAAATGTGTACTCAAGTTTCAAAATACACGAGTTTGTTGAAAGTAGTAATGATACAATAATTATAATAATGTTAAAAATGTCATATAAGTTTTTTCAACCAATGGTGGAAGAAAAAAAACAGTAACTATTAAAAATGATTAGGAAAACCGTTTTAACTTTTAAGTATACACGCATTTTCATGTTCAATCGTTAAAAATATTTAAAATAACATTAAACGATTAATTTAAAAAAAATCAGCTAAAAACAAAATAAAACAGAATGCGTTACGTTGTTATTTTCAAACTACTACAATGACGGTCATGAAAGACCTTAATTTTAACATAAAAACAGTTGTCTAATAATTAATAAAAACCTAACGAAAGAAACAGAAATTTTAAAAGAAGTTTAAGAAGATAACTACAACAAAGTAATTGATAAAAATCTCAAAATGGTGTGGATAAAAAAATAATAATAAAATAGTAAAATAATTAAAAACAATTATTCGACTACGTCACTGAACGACACAGTTTTTGTTTTGTTGAGAAAACCCAGATCTGTTGAGTTCAAGTACTATCTTGTCATCTTCTTCAATTCTAAAAAAAAACCAGTAATTAGTAACAAACGTAACACTATTTCTGCTGGTCACGTGTATTTGATGCTTACGCTCTTTCTTGAGAATCTAAATGATGGACAAGTTCGTCGCGTTTGTTTACGATACTGACTAATTCGGCCAGTAACAACGTCTCGCGGCGTTTTTGTTCTTCGGTCTTTTGCCAATCTAGAAATTAAATTACAAAACGTATTATAAAAATAATGCTATCACAGAGGTCACAAGTATTTGGAAAATCTTTGATTACTGAAAGTGATAACGCTATTTTCGAACAAACGCTTCGATGCCAAACTTTAGACGGTAAAAACTATTAAATATAAATCATTGTGTATCACACGTTATTTATTTTTTTACTAATAAAATTATTTTTCTACCTTATTAGCCTAATATATATAGTTTTACAATATGGTACTCGCTTTTGGTAAATTACAATAAAAACAATTTAAAAAAAATAATATACCAACCTTCAATTGCAATAATGCTTCTTAGTTCTCTGATGAGCAATTGATATCTCCTCTCTAAATCGTCTTCTTTTTCTCTGTAAATAAAAAAAGTTAATATTATTATCAATAAGAAAAGTCGTTTCACTAAACATTGATAGTACTTACAAGATATTCAATTGCATTTGTCGACGTATCAAGGCATTTTTTTTGTTGACTAGCGTAAACCATTCGGTCATGAGGAATTCTTCCCGTTCACGATCGTGCCCTGAACAATAAAAATTTAACTTTAAAAAATGACCATCGTTGCAAGTGTTAAAAATTAAATTTCTTATTTACCCGAGTCCATGACTTTTCTGAGTTCAACTTCCAATTCGTCGGCTTGACGGTCAATTTGTTTTTGTTCGCGTTCCAGTGATTCGACTTCATTTTGTATGTAATTAATTTCACTTCTCGTGGACTGTAGGTAAATAAAATAAATTCATATTATAATACAACAAACATATTTAAAAATTTTAAAGAAATACAATTTTTTTTTAAATTAAATCTTATTTGCAATGACAACAAAATAACAAATTCTTACGTCTTTTAACACGGAATCGGCTTCCAATAAAGACGTAAATGATTGTAATTTCTGCGGACTACCCGTATCCAACGCCACAGTACTGCTATTTCTACTAGAATCGTAAGACTGTAAAAACAAATATATATATTAAATGTTAATTATTCATAGTGTTAAAATATCATAATATACTTAAATTTTTATGAATACAAAATCAAATAACCTATTTTTTTCAAAATTATTATTAAACATGTTTTGAACAAATTTCGTTAGTTCACCGAGATCAGTAATCTTATTCAAGTGGTTCAATAATAATAAGTCGTTCTGATTAACTATAATTAGAGAAAAATTATGTCATGAAATATAAGTTTTTTAATTATAATATATTTTAAGGGAATTTTTTTAGCCTGGAATACTCGAATTCCCCAAATTATATGAAGACTTTATTTATTATAGTGTTACTAAACAAATAGGTATTTCAAAATCGACAAGTCACCATTTTTGCATAGATTACTACTTGTCAAATTTAATACTAAGTATTTTTTTTTTCACTCAAATTTTTAAAGTTAAATTGCTTGCAAAACCCACAAAAATCATATTAATATTTTTTGTTTTATTGATCTATTGAAATATATATGTTAAAACTATAAGCTATGAATAACAGATGCTAAAAATAAATTTATAAACTGGTGAAAGTGCAAAATAAATCAAACATCTAAAGTAATAAAGTTATTTGTGGTCAGAGTAAAATTAAAATTTTATGTCATGTTGATTTTGAAATAACCTATTCAGTTAATAAAAACCATCATATTAATATTTATTTTCAACAATTCATAAGAATGATAAAAAATATTTAACGACATTTTTTGTATGAAATTTCGAAATCATTATATTATCAGTTACGATATCAAAAAAAAAAAACAAATGTTCTAACGTTATAACTTGTCTAAATATAATTTGTTGGTTTGTTTATTAAAAAAAAACATTATCTACATTAATTTTAATGTTATATTATACTATTGTAGCATAACATGCAAAGTACTTTTTCAAACTATTTTGAAAGATACAACTCAAAACCAGAGTTGAATCAAACAATGATTAATTTTTAATCAAAATACTTATTTTTTATTATTCGATCAAACAATAATATATTTATTAAGAAAAATTTGTTATGTGTGTATATTAATCTGCGTCAAAATGACGCAGTTTGATTGCTCGACCTTTTTTAATTTAACATTTTAATTAAAAAGTCCTCCAGTCGGTTAATTTAAACCCATTGAAATTTGTTTTAGACATGTCTAATAATATTGTAAATTTTCTTTTTAATAATTAGTACTTTAATCTTTTATTAAAAGTTCCTTCTTTGAGTATACATTTAAATGTGTTCAATTAACCGTAGTCATAATTTACATTCTTCAGTTTATTTTTTTTTTCTATTATTATACCTTTTCGTTGTTAGTAATGCTCGTTTGAGATTTAACAGATACAGGGGATACAGAACTTCTGGCACTTCCGTTGTTGAAGCTCATCACCGGAGTAGTTGGAGCTGAAACGTTAATATTTTTACGGGCTTCCGCTATCAACTTCCTAGCGCGGTCTCTGAGTTGTTGTTGTCTCTCTTCTTCGTTCTAACAACGACAAAAATAATTAATCCCAACAAATAATAATATTGAGGCGACAAAATTATTAGTAAGTTGTAAGTTGTACAAACATGATAAAAAAAAAAAAAAAAAACAGTATTAAGGGTTAATTGCGCTCACTTGATTAGGTGTCTGTGGTAACGATCGTCTGGCAGCTTCTCGTCGAGCCTGCTCCACCAATTGACGAGCCCTTTCTCTGAGCTCGATATGGCGATTAGCTGTTACTTTCTACACGCATAAAAAACAAGCCATGCCAATTAAAAAATTAATGTTAATAATACACACAAAAATTTAAATGAACGCTAACCGTCAAATAAAATTAAAACATGGGCCTGCGGTTGATGCGTATCACAAAGGGGTAGGCAATAATAGTTTTGTTTATTAACATTTATTAAGTTGTCAAATGTTTGTTTCAAATGTGTACCTAAATATTGGTTGGTTTGAAAATTATCAACAATCATTCTTCTTTATAATAAGACGATGATAAACAATTTTCTTTTTTTTACATTATTCAAACCAATATTTTCTCCTTGACTACTAATAGTTTAAGCCTAATCGGTTAGCAGTTAGTGCCGCCGAGTTAACCTGTTAACTTGAATTTTTTTTTTTGCTACTTTAAAGTCAGTAATTTAATACGAGATTACTTTTTTGCTATTACTGCGTAGATACACTGCAAAGAACAAAGTTAGTCACTATAAAAGGCTAGAGTAACACTGACTTACTCAATTAAACACACAGTCTAGTCAAAGTTTTAAATAAATATTATATAAACCCAAAAATTGTTAGCCGTTTTATAGAACATAGTATATACCTTTTTATCGGGTATGTGAGTTTTATTATACGACTCTTGTAATGATTTTGTTTCGTTCAGTTTATCTCCAGAAGTCGAACACTTTAAATTCTAAAGGAAAAAAATGTATATATAGATATTTTGCATTTAAATACAAGCATAACTTAAAAATATATACCTCACTAGTAGATTGAGACCTTGTTAATTTATTGCTCTTTTCACTTGCCACTTGGGACATGCTGAAATCAAACCAATCAATCGTTACAAAACAAACATTTTTTTTATATAAGAATTTTTTATTTTGCATACATGTCTTCGTCAGAAGTAATCGGATCCGTAAAATGTCTTTTCGATAACATTGCCGATCTTCCCTGTAAATAACAAAATTATCAATAGAATAATCAAAAAAGTGTGTATTTTTTATTTGAAAGACTTACTTTCTCTTTGAAAAAAGACAACTTTTCTTTCGATGGTGACAATACTTTATCGAAAATACTTTTGGACCCGTTCACCAATTTGTCGGCAAATCCATCCTTCGGCACTGGAGAATATTCCTTCGTTGCGTTACCACTATTGATATCGTTTTGACTGGAAATAATATTATTCAATAAAAAAACGAATGGGTTTATATTGTTAAAATAGAACTGTAAAGCCACAAAAACATGTTATTCGGCTTTGATAGTTATAAGCAGCGTTAAGCAAGAATTAATTTGAATAATAATTTATTTTTCATACCGTTTATACTGCAAAAATAATTTGTTATTTGATTAAATTATTTATAAAATTGTTTTTAGATAAGTAATAAAACAAATAATCTGTTAGTTTATTATTTATAAAAACAGTGTTATCTTAGTTAATTATATTTTTTGAATTTCTTTTTTTTCTTGTTTTTCTTGTATTTAAAAATGTTTTAAGAGGCGTAGAGATTAAAAATTAAAAATCGGCTTTTAAAAGGACCACTCTAATATATTTATAAATGGAATGACCGATTATTATTACCTATTAGAGTTATTCAGTTTTTCATTCGAAAGGTTGTTGATTTCTTTCTCGAACAGACGAAGCGATACCTCTCTGTCAGGATTATTGAACCGACCAATCATGTAAGAAGATTCGTCCGAGGTCTTGCCGATCTGCTGGACTTCCAGTTCGTGCCCTATGAAGGGTGAAAGATTAAAAAAAAATACTTATTGTGCACTAAGGAAAAAACAAAAGAGAAGTGATAAATAATCAGACGAGCAGTTTTTTCTTACCAGTAAAATGCGCCCTCAACTGGTACAAATATGTCATAACGGCCAATTTATCAGGAACTGTAAGTACGCCCATGTCAGACGGCTCGATAACTCTTGAAATTCCAAGTATTTCACCAGCATCAAACGCAGTCTTGCAGTTACCTCGAATATCGTGTGGTTTTAACGAATCGAAATTGCTAAGCAAGAATATTAACAGAACTCACATTTCAGACACGTTCTCATTGAAATTGTTGCATTGTTTTAAAAAAAAACTTACATAAGATCAGGACGGAAATTATGAATAACCGCACAAAATGCAAGGCCGTTCCTCCAAGAAGTGGTCAGATTAGTAACTTTGACACCAGCATAGCCTTTGGTGATGTCTTTACACCACTCGAGTAAATCTTGTCCGGGTGTTGTAGTTTCAAAGCCTTTTGATGTGTCTGAATTTGGCTAAAAAAAAAAATATTTTCGTTAGTTTAATTAGGTAATTTAAAAAAAAATTTTTCATTTAATATTGATATTATTTTGTTGCTTAAACTTTTTTTTTTTTAATACGAGTTATTTTTATTTAAATTAAAAATGTATTTAATTATAAATAATGTTATTTGCCATTTTAATTAGTTTAATTTATGTACAATTATTTTATTATTTGAGTTTTCATTTAAATACATTTTTATTTGAGTTTTAACAGGGTGGACCATAAGGAACTGATGTTTTTGAAATGCGTAGTACTCTGAAAGGGAGGCATTTGACTTTATGTTGTATTCACTACATCGCATCTTGTACAATAGTTTTAAGTTCAACATTATAATTGTTCGACAGTTGCTTCCTGGTGATTTAGACAAACACAGATCTTTTTTTAAAAGAATACTTGAAATTTGTGCTTCCGGCAACGTGTTGCCGATAATGAGTAATGAAGGTACATTTTGTTTTAGACGGATACGTCTAAATAAACAAAACTGTCGCTTTTGGACATAAGAGAACCCACAAGAGTTTGTTTTTTAATAATTTATTAAACAAACTAATTGAAAGAATATCTTATCAAGTTGCTCTAATTTTGGTAAAATATTAATCTGCTGGTTAAAATTGTTAATTGGCAGATGAAGTACAAGATGAGCTTATTCGTAGGCTAATCTATATATTTTGTGTATTGATAAACGGTACAACAGGGAGTTTATTTTAATTGTCAGGTAAATCAGTTTAACCTTAATTGCATTTAACTGATAAATTGGGCCTAAAGAGCAAACAGTGGCTTTTCTTTTACAAATTATTGTGTATCGTTTATAGTTTGAACAAGTGCCTAATTTGAGGAACTTTTAGATCCCGTTGTTATACTTTTAATGTAATAAGATTGTGCCAAATTACATGTTTTTTATTTTATGTTAAATTAACATAAAAAAAATTCATACTTCTTTCAAATTCAATGGTTTTAACGACGCCCGAGAGGTTCGTACATTGTCTTCGTTCGGTCTAGAAGTCCTGAAACAAGTAAGTATAGTTATAATTCGTTTATTATATTCATACGCACAAACAGTTGTGTCTGCGTACATGTATGAAGGATCTGAAGAACCGTTTTCAAAATGCGTAGCTATCAAGTCCGCTATTAAAGATCCCGATTTATTGGGAGAACTATTAAAATCTTCTTCTTTGTGAAATGGTTTAGCGATTTCTAAAACATTTAGGAACGTATTAACGATGACAAATTTACGTTAATTTTTGTCTCTTTAAACAAATAATTTACGCTTACTGTCGTTAGGAGTTTTGTCAAAATCAGGATCGCTTAAACTGTTGGTTAAAAGTTCGATTTTATTTGTCATTTGCGTTAAATTGGCATTCAAGTTGCTCACATTTTGGTCAAATGTCGAATCATCTAAAATAGAAATTTTTGTCAATGAGTACACCAATATTGGGTTTCATAGAAAAAATATTGTCTATATTATATACTACCTTCAACGTCCTCTTCGTCAAAATCTTCAAGAGGTGCGATATCGCTATTGTTTGTACTTAAAAGACTGGCCATACTCATCATGTCTTCGTCGCTAAAATAAAATAAAATTTAAGCGATGCGTTGGCTTCATAAAATTTAGTACAATGAAACAACAATTTTTTTTTAATTTTATGGACACAAAATATTGACAAGCAGACACTTACGTAGCTTTTCCTTCCCTCAAAAATACACAAGACAGTGTCATTTCAAGCGAAGCGTTGGTAATTTTTTTAGATGTAGGTTTGAAGTCCAAAGTGATTTGATGTTGTGTTGAATCGACGCTAGCATATTTTTTCATGTTTAAAATTGCACACGCTATTTGTCTGTGCTTTCCCAAATGATTGACCTGTAACAAAAATTAAACATAAAACATTTAAAATTCAAATGTACATCACTTAGTAATTTAACTTTGCCGTGCAAGTATTAATTATTACTACTTACGTCTTCAATGGTCAGATTCCACTCTTTGTCTTCGTGCTCGTTGGTCCGCGGATCTTTGAACAAAGTAATTGATAGTTGTTTATTTTCTGGAATAGGCCAAATCACCACTCCTCTGAGTGGATCTTTCATTGTAGGCTCCCAAGGTAGTATTTCGCTAACGAAACGGCGACTTCTGCGACTCAATACTACCACTAATTTGTTGGGTGTCCTAAAAATAATTATAAAAAGAATTTTGTTTAGTTTTTCAGTTGAACGCTAAATTAAACACAATACTCACCATTTGGACGTAGTTTCACATATGATCTGATGGTACGATAAGGTGAACTGGAATTTTGTTGCTCTTTTGTTCACTCTTTGCAGTCGTTTCCACACTGAGGCCATGTTTACTGACACATTAGCTAGTCTTTTCTTAAGCTTGAATTTTGGCATTTTAATAAAAAAATACAATTAGTTAATTCATAAATAAATAATTACAAGACGTAAAATAATAAATGATTAATTCAATCAATATTTTGATAATACAAGCAATCTGTTTGGTCGCCTTGGTTTTAACGTTTAACATTGATGTGAAATTCATAAATAAATAAATTAAAAAAAGTCTAGCTAATGTTATTATCTTGTTTGAACTTTGCTCTTTTTTTTTTTTTTTATCACCACCATTGTTTATTGTAAAAAACCCACTATACTTTTTCTTTGTAGACCACATATTGTAGAGATAAATATACTATGTACATTGATACTCATTATACACAATGTAAAACCAATAACTATAAACCTACGTACTTAGTATATCAAAGGAAGTACCTTTGGATAACTAGTGCACTCATTCTATCTGTCCATCTCTCTACTACCACACACTCTTAATGAATTTATGTATTATCATATAGAAATATTCGTCAGAAAACCCACCACGTGAACATTATTATTTTTTTTAGTTATTTTTATAGAGGACAACATCTATCTCACGTATGTTATTTTTCAGCAAACAATTTTTCCCTATAAAATAACTTCAAGGTGGGTTTTCTGACAACGCGTCACATGTTAAAAATAAAAATTAAGTACTTAAAACATGTTTTAATCGTAAAAAATATAACGAGGACTCGGCTTTTTGGCACAAAAATAAGTTGTAAAAAATAACATTTACAGTGCAGCGATATTATTACTAATTGCGTGTTATTCGTAATGTTTTTAATGCTCATTAATTCAGTTAAACTTAGAAATCTGCATATTGGTCATTCAAATGGTAAGCTAGCATGAATAATTCAATAAATTATAGCGTTCATAAATAAAAATGTACAAAACATCTTTGATATATTAATTAAGACAGTCATTGAATAATAACATTATTATTTAGAAGCTTAAAACATCCTATCCCTCATTATTCTAAAAAAATTCTACCTATTACATACTCAATAATTGTTGAATAAGAATTTTCAGGTGAGTACCTAAATTTTTAGGTAATAAAAACTCGGAATGTAAACTCATTAAAGCCAAAGCTAAGTTTGTTGAGAATTTATTTTGCCTCACTATAATATCAAGAATAAATTTTAGTTTTTAAGGAAAAAGGGAAATGTTATATTTTTTAATAACTGATACCAAAAATGGAACAAATGCATTTTACCGGAAACCCTTTTTTTCCCCGCCATATTATAGTGTTTTTTACGCTGATTACGAATCTGAAGTCAAAATTAGGCGGACTCGGTTAGTTTAAAAGTTATAGCTAGTTGAACTTTGCATATTTCCCCTATGTAACAGTGCTATAACTTTAGAACTAATGGAGTTCGCCTAATTCTGACTTCAGATTCGTAATTACCGTAAAAAAACACTTTAACATGGCAAAAAAAAAGGGTTTCCGATAAAGTGCATTTATACTCCAAAAATTAACAGCACACAATTCGGATGCATTGAGTTTACTAGACATAAAAATAAGAATACTATAATAAGCTTATTCCTTTTAATGTAATAAATAGCAGTTACCAAATAAATACTTTCACAGACAGTCATTTAAATTTTACTATTTTAGCGTTAGTAAAAAATTAAAAACAAAATTCATCAACAAATTATTACTTTGATCTCTGTATATTTTTTACAATCAAACATGAATGTAAATCATTTCATAAACATGACGTTATCCTAACAAAAATTACATCATAATATAATTATTATTATGTATTAGCATTAGCTTGACCAAGACGACATCATCATTAGGTATTTAATTACGACAAAATGAAGACTCGTGATAATATTATGCTTAACCCCCACTTAGAATAAATCAAGGTTGAAATAGATTAGTTTTACAATTTTACACAATCCCGTCATGATAATTATTTGGACGATACTAATTCTTTGGGACAATTTGTTTTTAGTAAGTTTTGAAAACTTGATAGGATTTGTGACCAAGAACATTATTATTTGTTAATACTTAACCTTGGAGGGTTTAGAGAAAAAATGAGTTTTTATGTTTAACACTGTAAAAGATAATAATTAAAAGGATGAAGCGATTTTGGGATTAAATTTTTGGAAAACAACCCGTGAAATTATAATATGTTAAACCGAAAACGACACTAGTTTTTATAATATGATTGCTTTTTTTTGTACTTACCCGACAGACAGTCTATTGTTGCTCCCTGTTGTAAGTTATATAACAATCCGTGATCGCTTCAGACAATCACAATTACAGTACGGAACGGCATATTATTATTATATGCTGTATCTAAATATTGTATAACTTAATATCATTGAACATATAGGTATTACACGATTGACCAGTATCGGTAATTTTGTTTAACGAACGACGGTTTAGTTTTATTGCGAGGTGAGTGTATCTTATTAAATTTTTTCTTTCTCTTTGTTTTTGGTTTCTAAAAGTGTTATTGATAATATTGTTGCAATAATTTATATTTTATGATATTAAATTTTTAAAGACACATTTCTACCACTGATAAGGCGACGAAATTTATTGACGGTAAAAATCACACACACACACACACCGTCGAACAAATGAATATTACCTTTTCAGTCGAGCGGTCGCCGACGTTTCACCTAACGTCGACTACTACCACGAGCGGTCTGCCAAACGTTTAAGCCCGTTTTGGCGCGAAACGTTATAATGTTTCAAAAATGTTAGAATATTACATCATAATATGGTAATTGAATATAATATTGTATATTATTATTAATATATAACATTTAAATCATAATATATCGTTTAGCAACACAGACATCAATTAACATTGTCAACACATTTCAGCAATATGTTTTTTGTAGTTCACTGTACATCAAAATCGCTCTATAGTACCTATATAGTTTACTTAGTGGTTTACCTAGTACCATTAGTCATTGCACATAAACACATCTAACCTCTATTTTCCCTTTTCGGGCATTTGTTCAATATGCACTGCTACCAGGGATGGGCAGTATCTAAAATACGTATTTCAAATTAAATATATTATTATTATATTTTATTTCATTCAGCTATAATACTTGAACTTGTATTTTGTACTCAATTTAAATACATTGGCCTTTGTCTCGCGCCAAAAAACCAACACAGGACAGAGCTGCTGCTGAAAGACGTATAGCTTCGATGCAAAGCAGATGTGCTATTGGTTTAACAATGATGTGGGCTTTTTTTTTTGTCTATATACACTGTAAATTTTTAAATACTGGACCCATTTCTTCGAGTAGCAACTCTATAAATCGCAAATTTCATCTAGTTGGTACTTTGGGGGGTAAAAGTTGAAAAAGTTTACTTCTTTATAGTAAAAATTTAAAAAAAAAACCATACAAGTTTTTAAATTAGAACTTTTGCTGGCTATAATTTCGAGAAAAAGAGTCGGACCGAGTTGAAATTTATAAGAAATATTTATTTGGTATGCCCGCACACGTCAGTTGTATCAAATTTTAATTATACCCATATAATATAATATTCTCATAGCACAATGTAATAACATAGAATGGTTTCAAAAGTTTTTTTGTATTCTCCCTTTCAAAACAATTACTGATGTGTACAATAAAAATGATTCAAATTCAGTGGCCTAGAAAAAATCCAAATCCTCTAAACTTCGAGGTAACCTACTTAATTCGGTAGGAAAATATAAGGTCTTATATCAATCAGTCGAGAAGACATTTTTTTTTAATGTCAGCATTTTCAAATCTAACCGTTTTTTTCTTTATACAAAAAGTTAGTAAACGCTTCACAACCCATAGACAAACATTGTGCATACAAACATATTTTTTGGAATTGTATCTACAATGACAAAATATACATGTGTATACAAAAATAATAGTCATTATCAGTGTCGTGACAACGACGCCACACCGTAATCGTTTCCTGGAAAGATATTGCCATATCGGTTATTTCTTCCTCGAATGGTATAACTGCTATTCTTACTGTTTTTTTTTTTAGGCTCAGAATAACAAAAAAGGGCAGAGTTCGTTGCTGGTGCAGTATGATGTGTAAATACATGTTCTTTAGATTTGTTTTAAGACTTTATTTATTATCATCACATAGACGATAATAATTAATATGTGACATGTGATTAAGTGAAGTAAATTTAATTAGACCTACACAATTACATTTCAAGTGAACCGTGTCATTTTTTTTTAATATAAAATTATGAATACAATTTTTCATTATTTGATTATGTGATCCATTCACAAAACCATACAAACTGTAAAGTCATGTAGAAATTCTTATTATGCCATCTATTCTTAAAGGTTTTTTTCAGGCTTAGAATAACAAAAAAGGGCAGAGTTCGATGCTGTTCTACTTTAGCTCAGGCCCAGCAAGCAAAAAGAAACGGTTAGAAGATGAACCGCCAGAAAGAGTTGCTTTGGAACATGAACCAAAACCAGATGTAGAAGTGTGTTAGGCTCGTCATCCGTTCAGTCAACCACAACTACAAAAGACAATACTCCTACAGATGAAGTGCAGCAGCCCAGCTGTTCCTCTAGTTCAACTGACCAATTGAAAGTTGGTCAAAAAACAATATAGAAGATGTATTTACACTCAGTGGGTTTTCCAAATGGAAGAATAATGTTAGAGTGTTTGAGAAACATAAGAAGAGTAACTCGCATCGAAGTATTAATACTAAACTCAATTCTCTAAAAGAAGAAGACAAAAGTGGCACTTTTATTGAAAAATCAAATCAAAAGTATTCAGAGGAAGTACAAGAAAACAGATTTTACTTAGTAGCTTTGTGTGAATCGTTCATATTTAGTGGCAGGCAATGTATTGCTCTAAAAGGCCACGAGGAATCTACAGATTCAAAGAACAGAGAAAACTTTTTGGAGCTGACAAAGGTTCGTTCCAAAGACAATAGTTTAATAAGTTGTGAAATCTGTAAAAAACAGCACACTTGAAGTATTGAAATCCTTCAAAACAGATGAGTTTTTCACAAAGTTGTTCAACCACTGCACGGAAATCGCTGACAAGTGCGGGTTTAGGGTCGCCCAGCTGCCAAGAAAGGGCACAATTCCCTCAAAAATTGGGGGAGGGAGTAAAGCTTCTGAGCAGATTTGAATCTGTAGAGCAGTAATACAAAGTTTCAATCCTCTGACCATTTATATTAATTGTTTTATTGTTTATTGTTATTACTTTGTTGGAGATTTATTTTTGTATTCATGTATTTACATTAATTATTAAGAACTTAACATTTTTTGAAACTAATGCTTGAAAACTTCTACATTTGTTCATTAAATAGATTGCCGATAGGTGTCGAGTATTGCTATAACATATAATATAAGTTTGCCATAGGTATATACAAATGTACCTATATAAAATACATAATACTGTTGTTGCTAATTTTATCGACTTTAGTACATCAACAAGATTTCTGCACATATCCCAATCATCTTCTAATAGTTTCAATTCTCTTGCTAGTTTTCTAGAAAAATATATAATATATCGGCTACAATTGAAACAATACATGGACGTCAATCTAATTGGTTGAGCTGTTCATTTTGCTTTCGTTGGATTGCACAAACATGTATTTTTAGATATATTAACGAGAAAACAATAGTCGATTACAACGATATTGTACTTAATTGCTTGCTGCTTCATATATAATATAATTAATGAAATAATTTAATATTCTAATAATAGAACATAATATTATAATTGAAATAAAAAGTTTGATGAATAAAAGTCGCCTTATAAAATGTTTAATTGGTTCCTATTGACTTTTGGGTTTTTAATATAATTAATGCTAATTTCCAATTTGCCCGTAACAATAATTAATGTCAAAATATGTACGGTACCACACCATTTATATTCATAATTATATTATGATTGCCATTTGTCGCTAATAAGTGTCAACTGTGTTATCATTTCACAGATAACACTATTATTATTAAAAAAATATGTTCTATTTTTATGCCTAAATGACAGTCCGAAGTCTGCACAAGTGGGACGGCTTAAAAGTGTGTTTTTACTTTTCATTTAATTGTTACTCAATCTAAATTGACATTTACCTTGTTAGATGTTTTCAGGTAATGTCATTAGTTCTTAAAAACTTTAAAAAACAATTTTCTTGTCATATTGATTGTTTGATATTAGAATTTCAAGTTTATTTAGCCATTCGTAATGGGTCAAAATCAAAACAATATGAGAATAACGGTAACTGATGATCATGATTAATTGACTATTTACAGTCTATTAGCATTTTGCGAACTAACTTGAACAGGTAATTATAATAAAATATACTCAATTTTCTGTTATTCTGTATCAGTTTTTACAAACAAATCATTATATGGTTTCATTTAAAACATGTTAACGGCTTGGAATGCTATTATTATTTTCTAATCGCTAATATTTTTTTGAAGTTTGTTTTTACAAATATGTATTCTAAAAATGTATTGTTAATTTTATTTCGGATTTTTTATAATTGTTGAAGTCAAAGCCGTCACGAACTGATGAAGATGTTTATTATCAACTGTTGTAATGGTTACCGTGTGTTGTTTTAGAGATACTAAAATAATGATACTAATTACTATTCTATTTTGTTATGTAAGCATCAAATAGTATTGATGGAATAGTTATAGTGGTACAGAGAGATTCACAAGAAGTATACATATTTTGGTTTTAAATTAAAATCAATTAATTCAATTTGAAAATCGTTTTTATAAACTTATACGATTTTTTTTTAGAATAGTTTTCAATTTAATAACAATAAAGACAATTGCGTTACTATCTCTTTTTGTTTATTACAAAACAGAAAAATGTAGAGGTCATAAATTTAAAAAAAGAAATACTTCCTTAAAACCTCTTAAACATAAATGAGTATTTATTTACTGTTTTGAGGTTAAATAAGTTTTTAAAAATATTGCAAGTTCTGATTGTACATTTATTGTTTACAACATTTTTAAATAAATTACTTTAAATACAGTCTACCCAAAATGATGATACTGGATAATATGTTTTATGTTTATAGAAAGAGTTGTTAGCTAATACAATATATTATGTATGTTTTTAGTACGTTGTTGTCATAGGTGCAAATAGTCCACATTTTTTGGGAGGACTTAAGTTATTTAAGTCTCCCCAAAAAATACTTATGATCCTTGATGTGATTTCGGGGAACTTTATTAAGTTTTAGGGGCCTAAGTACCCCCAATTTGAGCCAATGGTTGTTGTGTATACAGATATCAAGAGTAAATTATGAATATTAGTATTGAAATTCTATTTTCTATGTAATTTTTTTCAGCTGTTTGTTTTTGTTCAAATTGTGGTTTCAAGTCATCGCCAAAGGAAACATATTTATACAAGTCTTTTATATTATTTACGCTTTATCAAATCAACAAAGATGTGTTTGCTTGAATTTAAATAACTGACTTTTTGTAAATTTTTCGTCACATACAAAAAAAATATTCATTATTATTACTAGTGTTATTATACTATTTTTTATTACTACACAAGACTTG